GCTATTTAAAGCGACGGATCGCTAAAAAAAAAATTAAAATTTCGTGGCTTTATTTAAAAGCCACGAAATTATTTTTTAAAAAAAAAAAAGCGATCCGTCGCTATTTAAAGTGACGGATCGCTAAAAAAAAAAAAATTAAAATTTCGTGGCTTTATTTAAAAGCCACGAAATTATTTTTTTTTAAAAAAAAAGCGATCCGTCGCTATTTAAAGCGACGGATTATGAGCCTAACATAAGGCTCGTGAGCCTACTATGAGGCTCGAGCCGAGCCGAGCCTATATAAGTAAGGCTCGGCTCGACTCAAGCCTAACTTATAAACTCAGGCTTGAGTCGAGCCTAAGACTTTTGGGCTCGGCTCGGCTCGGCCTATGAGGAGCTTTATCCATGAGTTTTAGTAAATTTTTTTCAATTAAGAAAGATAAAAATTTAATAATAAAACAAACAAACAAAATGATTATAAGATGATTTGTATTGCACATCCATCCATCATGACGCATAAACAAGACAAGAGAAAATAGAAAATGTACACTTAGATTTAAACATACCAAATGTTATGATGAAAAATGGTGCAGGTGTATATTGTAAAGATAAAATTGAAAGTTCATTATTACTATTAAAAATTAAAAATGTTTATTTTTTATTTTTAAATACATTTTATTAATGTATAGCAAATATATTTCAAAAAGAAAATATCTGTCAAATTCTTAATATCAAAATTGCCACTCTTTATATATTTTGGGGACATCGTGATTACAGAATCAATCCACAGTAAAAATAAATAATAAGAATTAGATATTATGAAAATTCAGTTTGCAGACAAATTTTTTAAGAAATTAAAAACTTGCAATTTAATTTATAATCAATTTCGCCTGGAATTCTTGAAAAGATACTTACATTTCATTTTTTCAAATAAATCTGGTCTCAATTTTTTGTGTAATTTTATTCTTGAAACAAGCGTTCATGACCGGGGAGCTTGTTTTATGGTATTTTTTTTTGGAAAAAATAAAATTCTGAACTAAATATTTCCATATAACATATGTTATTTGGACTTATTTACTAATTCAATTTTCACTTATAAATGATCTTGAATATTTGCTAAATTTATCACAGTACTGAATTATTATAAATTATAATAAATATAAATAATAAATAAACTATTTGATATTAAGTCAAAATAATAAATAAACTATTTGATATTAATTCAAAATTTAAAATTATCATTCATGAATTCCACTAATTCTTTGCCTATATCCACAAATTCCTTTATCAAAGATATCTTTCAGTCTTGTATATTCAACTAAAATTTGTTCATCTACTTTAATTACAGATGATGTAATTTAATGATTCCCATAATGGTGAATGACTCAAAGCAACATATGCTTGACCAGTAGCAAACATGGATTCATTAGTTGAAACTGTTGAATGAGGCAATGTCAATTCTTGTGTTTTATGCACAGCCAAAGCAAATGCATTTTGTAATGGAAACTGTTTATGTTGTGCTGATGATCCATAAATATTAAAATAAACTGTTTCCTTAATGACTTTTACACAAGAATTCCTTGTGTTAATGGAAATACAACTATTATATTTTCTTAATCAAGAATTTCCAGTACAACTCCAATTTATCCATTATAACTCTAGTTCCTGGTACTAAAGTTATTGGATGGAAAATTTGTATATCTTCTAAATAATTTATCATCATCAGAAGATGTCCATTCTTGTCCATTCATATGATCAGAGAATAAGAAATTAATGGTGAAGCATTTTCATTTTCTAAAGGTTAAAAATTCACAATATAATTATTTATAGTATCTGCAATTTTATGATATGCCACAATATGTGTTGTCATTAATAAATGTTATAAATGAAAATTTATTTAAAAATATAATATTTTGATTTAAGTATAATCAAAGTCTTGAAATAATGTCATAAATTTCTGAGTATGAAAAAAAAATTGTAATTTGGTTCACACGAATGATATATGAGCAAAAATTTAAATTCAAGCATTCCTATACCTGGAAAATAATTTCACTTAGTCACTCAATACCAGTTTTCTTGATCAAAGCCACAGAAATAATTTTACAAATTTCTAAAGAAGAATAAAAAATTTGTCATTTGAAAAAAAAAATTATAATTTGGTCCACAAGAATGATATATGAGTGAAAATTTAAATTCAAGCATTCCAATACCTGGGAAACAATTTCTCTTAGTCACTTCATTATAATTTAAAGCTTTTTATTTATTTAATTTTTGATAAATCAACTCTTTTTTTTTGTAACTTGTGATTTTGTGATTTACATAGTACTTTCTAACTTGCACAATTTCTATATAATACTTTTAAATGTTGTACAATTTCCATATAATACTTTAAAACTTCCACAATTTCCATATTATGCTTCATGCAAGGGGTATATATATAAAATTATCTGAGGTTTTTTAATACAGAATTTTTGTGGGTGCATGAAAACAAATATAAAAAAGGAATTTTACACTGTGACTTCTCCTAAAAAGAAATTTTATATTGTGACTTCTCCAAAAAAATTTTCAGATAATCCTTATTTTGTTTTAAATGTGTGCGACAATAGATCATTCAATAAATAGTGATAATTAAAGATAGATTAATATGCTTGTAACTTGAAGACTTATTTCCAAAATAATTTCAAAAGGCTTGATTAGAAAATTGAATTAATATGGTTGAAGATAATACAAGTGGTCATAAAGATTTAGTAAGTGTATAAATTATTTAAATTGTATATCTAAGTTCATTTACTTTGTTAATTAAGAATTAATTAAGAATTAATTAAATATTTTAATGAGAAACCTGTTCTGCAAAATTTACAGAAAACTATTTCATTTTATTGCCAGTTCATAAATATAATTTTGTATTCAGCCAACCAAGAGGGGATTTCTCATTGGTATCACTATAGAAAAGCATATGACACAGGTCAAATACAAAAGAATTGCCATACTGAAAAGGAATTCTGATTTTAGCTGATTTATAATATAGGATGCAATAGGGGCAGTTGATTTTTACTGATTTTTAGCTGATCCATAAAAGAAATTACCATTTGGTGCAGTGATTCTTTTACATTTGACTAGTGTGAAGAATATCCAGAGAGGAGTTAATGACCAATTTGTCAGAAATATGAAAATTATTGGTGAAGATTGTATCTTCCTATCTGGTAAATATTCCTACTATCTGCTAAAATTTCTGCCTGTTTTTGTCATTTGCAAATGATTCTTGCCATATTTACCATAAAAATTGGTTTAACTTGTGATGAGTACGTTCTTGGTGTATAAGATTTAAAGAGCCATAAAATTTATAAGAAACTTTGAAGGATTGGAATGGACTAAATGAAATTAAATTTTGGAATCCTTAAAATATTTTCAAAATATTTTTCATATGGATAATTATCAGCAACTTTGATATTTATCTAAATTTGATAAGCATAAATTATTTTGAAAAGTAATTTAAAATTCACCAAGATCATTATTTGATAAAATTATTTCTTTATTGTAATTCACAATGATTCTACCATATTGTAATTTGCAAGATAATACATATATTATATATATTTAATGAGATATAATGTAGTTTTTATACAAAATAAAATGAACAAATAATTTAAAATTTATAACATAATCGAATAAATAATATAAATGTCAAAATTAAAAATAATGACAATTCGTTGATAAACAGTTTCTATAAAGCATCAATAATTTATTTTTTATAAAAGTATTTTAAGTCCATCAGAAGTCTGGCCAAGTTTTACTATTTCTTAATATCTGACAAAGAAATTGATTTTGAAGTGAAAAGATCATTACAAATTCGTAACAATTGAAAAGATGGCAATTTTTGAGATTGCATCAGCTTTCCCGTATAGGTTATAATTTTTGTGACTTGCTTTTGCTATTGTTTATACTTTCTGCATTGATTTCACTTAACTTATTAAGCATCATTGTTGTTACTTCTTGAATAAGAAAATCTTCAAAGGTGTCATTAGCTCTCCTTTCTGAAAAGTCATTAACAATTGTTGGACACAACTGAGCCAATTGGAAGTGTTCTAATATTGTACTTGAATTTGTCCACCAAAAAAACGTGCAAGTACACAGGGTCATTAACTTTGTCTTCTTCTAAAAGTTGTTTCAAAATTAAGGATAATAATTTGATATCCTTTTTATCTCCATCAATACTAGAAATAATTGTAACAAAATCATTAAAGTATAACTCTGAAAATTTTTCAAATGGCGCATCTCGGATATGTAATATTGAAGAATGGATTTTATATTTAAATACACAATAAGTTATATCCACAAAAAATGGTTGAAGTTCTCCAAATTCATCACAATTATCTTTCTCCTGCTTAAGTTTAGCTATTTCTTCTAAATACATTTCTTTATAATCATCAATTCTTTTCATAAAATAATATGAAAATGGAAAACGCAAATCATAAATTTGTGGCAAATTATAAATATTGGGTTTAGGTTCAAGAAGATCATCAGTTGCTATTATTTTTGGATCATTAAACATATCTTTTCAGAATGTAAGTAGAGATTCTATTCTATTTTCAGGCTGATCAATATCAAAAAATTTCTTGATGGCTGATAATTTTTCAAGAGAATATAACATTTTTGCAATTGGACCTCTAACTAAAGAACAAAATATAGGCCTGTAAAGCAGCAGAAAATGATAAATAAGATACAATAACCGTTTGTTAGATGCAACTTGATATTGCCATTCTGCAGAAGATTTTTCATCAATACACATGAACGTTCTTTCTTTGAGAAGTTCAATAAAGTTAGGGTGTTTAAAAATCTCGGAACTGATCATTCTGTAAAAATCAAAATTTAATAAACATTTTCAAACAATAACAATATGTACTTACTTAATGTGATTAATAGAATTTTCTGTAGAAGGATATTTTATATATAGAAGACACCATAATAATTCTTGTTTTAATATCTCTTCAAATGGATAAATAGATTTAATTACATTTATCAAAGATCCATCCAAAAGTGCTGGCAAATGTTTCTCTTGAGGGGCCAAAGTTTCTATTGTGACTTGTCTCCATCCGCACATAAAATTAAAAGATAAAATTTTTGTTTCTTGTTCTCTATGAATATGTAAAATAATACATGCATGTTTTGTTCTCATTTCTTGGGTTTTTATTTGAAGAAATTCATTACGATATTGTTCAATGATGAAGTTAACCAACTTAATACACTCTGAATTTTCGGTGGTCACATCACACTGAAGAACCAACATTTGATTATTAGATTCAAGCCAGAAATGTTTAACTCTATTTTGAAGTTGTGCTTCGGTTTTGAATGCTGATAATTTATCAACTTGAACTTGCATCACTTTCTCTGGACATTCTTCAACATCCGTGTTGATGTTCGAGAAAGTATTTACAATAACTAATAATTGTTTTGAACCAACCTCTCAAAATAATGCAATGAAATAATCTTCTAAATGACCATGAAATTGATTATTATGTTCTTGTGATAGGAAGAAAACATTATTCCAAAATAAATCACCATTACCTTGATTGTTATGTTTGAGTGATGGGAAGTAAACATTCTTCCAAAGTAAACTTTCTTCTGGATCAATAGCTGATTTTGTGGCTCTTATAATTCCATCCGCTGAAGCAATAGCAACAAGAGTTTCTTTACATTTTTTAAGAATTTCTTCATTTTGGTTATCAGGATTCATTTCCATAGTGTTTATGACTAGACTTTGTAAAGTTTCATCTAAATTAAAACCAATGAAAAGATCCTTTGATGTGAAGTTGCTGCTAGATGGTATTTTATCATTTAAGGTCAAAGTTGATATTCGTTTAACCACTTTCAAAATTTCTACAATTTCATGTTGTTGTCTTGTGATTAAATCTTCAATAGTCAATCTTTGTTTTTCAAATCTATTTAAAAGTATTGGATCTGCTCTATCAAGTTTAAATTCATCAAGAACTTAAAAACATTTAAATTTCTTATCCACATATCTAATAAAATAAGAATTGGATTAGAAAATTTAAATAATGTAAATAAAATATGAACTAATACTTATAACATTGGACTAGAATCTCCAAGAGCAACTCTGGTAAAGTACCTAGGATTATCTTTATTTCCATAAAAAAAGTTATTCTGATCCCATAAATCAAAAAGAGCATCTATTTAAAAATATATAATTGAAATAACTTGTAACCATAAATGATTTTATAAATTTTGAATTACAATGACATAACATAGATGTTATCTAATTCTGTTAAAATAAGAAAATATCATTAAGCGATTTAAAGTTATACATATAAATAAAATATTAATAATTAATTATTTACCATAATTTTACTCAATACGCTATAAGAATAATCTCGTTGGTCATCAGGAAATTGGGAACCTAATATCACCTCAGGTTCTAACCCTTCATTAACTAACTGACGGGTTAAAATGTTAATAATAAAATCACTTTTTCTAATAATCATTAGAGGTCTTGCACTTTTATCTTTTAGATTAGCATTAATTAATTCTAAAGTTGACATTGGTTTGTATTTCCATTCGCTGTAATTGTTGAACTTTCGCAAAAAATTACCAAAGTATTCTACACAAAGTCTTTCATTTTGATCTGTACCACCAAAATTTCTAGCTAAAGCCATCTGAATATTATCAGATGTCATCTCTGCCATAGATAAGCTCTTTATAAGACCATAATAATCACGAAGACCGTGGAAATTTGGATAATTTGTCAAGATTTTTCATATTCTAAATATGCTTCAGCAAGAGGTTTAAGAGACACAGATCGTGCTTTATCATCAAGTAATCGATCTGCAGTTTCCACAAGATCTTCAATACCAAACTTGGGCTATTAGATAAACAGAATGATTTAAATTAGTTCCTTTTTAAAATGTAATATCTTAAATTATAATTTTTCCTTTACCTTTGAACTAATAGTGCTCTACTACTTTTACTAATGTCTAATCTCCAATTGCTAATCCCAACAACAGATAAAAATGGACCATCAGTAGGATAACTTGGTTCAAGTAAAGAACAAGAACTTTCAAAGGATTGTGTGGAGAAGTTTCAGCCAATCCAACTAAAAAAATAATAATAAATATAAATATAAATTGGAATCAAAATTAAATTGAAATTAAATAAGAATATTGCATATATAATAAAATACCTCCATCTAGTAAAACAACACTGATCGAAGGAAATTCTCCTGTACTTGTTTCCTGATATTTAACTGCTTTTTGAAAAACTTCAAGAATACCATCAGAAGTGGGAGATGATGATCCATGATGTGGAATAAGATAAACCTAAAAATTTTTAAATTAAAATAATAAGTCATAATAGTATAACAAATTTTGAAAATGGTTTTTCGTAATTAAATATATTTACCTGTGGCAAGGTTTGGAAATATCGATCATTTGAACCTTTATCACGAAGATTTTGACTAATTATTTGAATTACTTAAGATTTGGATGACCTTTAAATTAAAAAAAAAATTAAAAAATTTCTTAAATGTTTGAAGTACATTAGACAAAATAGATAATATTACTTATCACTTAAATACTAACCCTGATTAACCAATAATAAATACTGGTATTCTTGTACGGTCATTGCCAATACATTTTATAAGAGAGCCTCGTTTAATGCAGTATTTGGAGATATATTCATTCGTTTTATAATGTCTTCTTGTTCTTGTTTAATTATTTCCTCAAATTTGCGATGATCTAAATTCACATCCTTTGATCTAAAAATTTTAACCATATCTTTCCGATAGTTCGCACGTTCTTCTTGATTATTAATTCTAGATTGATGACAAAGAGCAAGTGCTAATATATAATACTGAAATTGTAATTGTACATTATCATTAGGATATTTGGGTCTACTTTTATTTCCTGTTTTTGTTCGTCGTGGTCGATTATTTAAACTAATATTGAAAAACTTTATCAATTTGATAGCTCTCTTCATATCACGTAAACTAACGCTATATGATTCTTCAATTGAACGAATAAATTCTTGGGATCCAAACAAGAGTTCTGTAAGTACTGGATGGTTCAATTCATGATCTTTAAGTTCCTTGTGTGTCATTATTTGTATATATCTTTTTTCATCATTTTTTTGAAGAATGCCGTGCCGTAGTCCCACACATAATCCAAAATTTGGTCCGGAAGTGGCTTGACTTGATATACAAGTTTATTTAGTTCTTCATATCTATTGGCTTTGGCCTTTAATCCAGCTTGGCTTTGACTCTTTGTTCGAATTCTATATGGATTACAGGAAGAGAATAATCGTATATTTGGATGAATTGCCTTTCCGAGCAACATTTGATAAACAATAAGATCTGCTAGAATACCAATATGATCACATGTATTGATTTCATCAAAAAATATCCGTATTTCTCTGTTTACGGCATCCTTTTCAACTTTAGACATAAAATCTAATATTTGGGCTTCTGAAATTCCCGCGTGAAGATTTAATGCTTTTAACTTGACTTCAACAATTCTTGCCAAATAACTTATTAAACTTATCTATAAATTTTAAGATATTATATTAATTAACATATTTATTAAACCACAGAATATAAATAAATAATATATAATTACCTTTCCACATCCGGCCTCGCCCATCTCAACAACTGGAATGTTAGCCCGAACTCTTAGTAAGATTAAACCCATCTTAATTAAATTATCAACTGATAGGGCGTACTTAGGAAAATCAATTTTCTTTATTGTCTTACATGCCAAATATTCCAATCTATTTAAGAGTTCTCTATCGTCAAACTATTGTAATCTTCAAGTCTCCATTCTTTGGGATTACCGGGAAATGCACTTCTCAAGAAAGACTTCACATTATCATCAACTTTCTTTGGGTCTCGATATAAAGTGCAAAATGGGTCTGGACATTAAGGCATGAAGTACACCAAAAGATGATTTGAGTCATCCCATGAAAAAACATCAATTTTAATATCTTCTAAATCGCCATCAATGGATCCAATTGATTCTAATTGTGCTACTTTTGTTTGAACAGATTGAGTTGCAAAGTCTTTAGAAACATCTATTAGTTTTCGTAGTAATGTTGTTCTTAAACCATCGTCTTTTACAATTTGTTTCAAATTCTCAACGCGGAAATATGAACTTGATGAAAAACGCACCTATCGATAAATTAAATTTATCAGAAAAAAATGTCTTTAAATGAAAGTACTCACCAATTGATCAGCTAAAACATTAATAAAAATTTCCACAAAACGAAATGATGAAATATTATCTGTGTTTTGATTGAAGAAATATTTTGTCACTAGTTCTTGACACCTTTTCGCTGGTAAAGGTTGAGTAATGGCTCCTTCTCCAGAGAAATGAATATTATTTTCGTCAATTGTAGCTTGATCAAGTGCATTCAAATAGTGACATACAATTTAAATTGGACTATGAATTTTATTAGATACTATTAAATTATTAATATCCCAGGATAAATAAGTTTTTTTAAAATAACTTGTGATTGGAAGTGAATTAAGTAATTTTTGTTCGTCGGTAGAAGAAATTTCAATGAAAACTGTGGTTTGTGGAAGACAAACGATATCCAGATCACTAAATACAAATCCTAATGTAAGTAATTCAAATAAGAACATATTGACTTCACCACTGTTATTGGCTGAAACAATATTAATATGCAAGCTTTTTCCTTCGTGAAGTTGAAATTCTTTGAACTGATAACTAATTTATTAAAATTGATCCCATCACTAATAAAGAAACTACGAGGAATTTTATGTTTTAGGTAACTAGATTGTTTAATCCATTCACTTTTGCCTTGACCAGATAGATCTGAGGATACACATACAACATTTGGACATAATTGAGAGTAGATATCCTTCATTGTTTCACTACATAAACAATTGGTACCACCGAAAATTGATATGAAGTTCCGCCTCACGATAACAAATTAATGCTAATAAATAATCAAAACGTCCCTCACGTAAAGATCTTATATAATTTACTAAATTATATTGTAACTCGAAATCAAGCACCTCTAAATTTGCAATACAGAACAGGTGATCTTTATATCCATTATCAGCTGCAAGGAAACAACGTTTGGTAAAAATTGAAAGTTCCTCCATAGTAGTGAATGATTTGCAAATCAAAATTTGCCATGGCTCAGGAAAATATCCGTGATTTGTATAAATTGACATGATGATATTTGGAATTAATAATTTATCATTACAAGCAGCAACAAATAACCTTCCTCTATGCACTATATCGGAAGGAACTATTATACATTTTGTTTTTAGTGGGCGTAGTTGAATTGGAATGTCACCGAATATATTTTTTATCTTGACACCAATTTCACAAAGAATTTCGAAATAATTTTGTTGTGAAATTTTAAAATCACCTTTATTGATTGGCACCAATCTGGCCTTGTCGTTCACAAATCTAATAAGAGTTTTACAAATCTCTCCATTGGCTGGATCATCATTAATGAAATAGTCAAGACAAGTTAAAATATGATGCGCAGGGAAAAATGTCAAGTAATAATTAATTTCTGTGTTTTATCAACGATATTTTCCCTGAAATATATGAAATAATCATATTAGTTATGAAACATGAAATCAAATTTTTTTTAAAAAAAATAATAAATATATTATTGATTCAAATCCTCTTTAAGTGATTTAAGCAACTCGGCTAATTCTTTCATCTTATTTCCACCAGAAACCGATTTCTTGTATTGCCGATAACCGAAATGCCCCACTTGTATGAGTTTAACTCCAATATTACAAATTTCGTGAAACAAATCAATTTGACGAACAAATTCATCCATTATTTGGGTCTTTGCTATCTGTTCTTCATTTGCATCCTTTCTTTTGTTTGCAGCGGAAGTAGGTTTAGCAATTAACAACGCACGTCCTCTCAAATCTTGTAAGTCATAAAGAGAATAAGGCTTTACATTACTCCCTTTGGAGGGATATGTCAACGAAACAGTAAACCTTTCATCTTTGCTCATACGTTCAAATAAATAAGTTCCTTTTTTAACTGCATTATGAATCTTTTCTTTAGTAACTTCGCCTCGAAGTGAAATGTTTTGATACATATTTTGTAAAGCCATATTACAACTTGAACACAAGGTAATTTTTCGAACCAATGTAGGGTTATCGGCATTGATGGAAGCCAAATTGGCAAGAAATTTCTAATACTTAAATTCCTCGATTTCACTTTATTCATCAATTCAAGCAAAAGTTGTTGGACTTGAATTAATGAAGCAACAGTATCCTCTTGGTTTAATCGTTCATCATTAAAATCATCAATGCTATATTTAACAAAATACCTGTGATTAAATAAATTTTATTGTAAAATTAAATAAAGGAAATAAATATCTACGTACCAATTAATAAGATTTTCTATATCATGTTCAGCTATACTTTTGAGGAATTCTAGAAAATTGCCAGCTTCGGATAGTCCTTTAATCAAAGGCCAGCAAGTATCGTTATCAATTTTAGCAAGATTTCCATTAAGATAATCGAAAAAAGTTATTTAACTTTCCAAGAGTTAGAATATCATCTTGCAAAATACGTCGAGATTTTGTAAGCCAATCGTCTTTTTCATGTAGAACATCAAATATTTCTATAATCGTGAATAATTGTTCAAGACGAACAACCCATTCTAGTACGGATGTAAGTCGTTTAAGAGCCTTGACAAGGTTTTCATAATGTTCTTGGTTTTTGCTGAGAACATCATAATTTTCCATTAATCTAAGTTCGAGTTCTACATTGGTTACTTCTTTCCAGGGAAAAGCGGCATCAAAACATTTTAATTTCTCCCAATTTTCGTATTGCTTACATAATTGAGCAAATCTTTCTATTGCTTCAGTAAGTATCGTTTTTGTGATATCTTTAACTGTCAACGTTTCTGCTACTTTATTAAGAAGTAAATTAAAAATGTTTGCAAACGTTTGAGATTGAGAAAATCCATACACTTTTCTTGCCATTTCTATTGTTTCACTATGGAATTCCCAATGGGAACGCATCTTAGATTCGGTATCTAGTTTTGAAATATAATCTTGCACATCCGAAACCTTTGTGGTTGGACAGGAGATCTCGTAATACTGTATGTTCCGAGTTCATTTAAGGTGTACTCGTCGTAATTTTGCATTTGTTTCCTAACATCACAAATAAAAATTAAAATGATTAAATTTCATTATATGCTCACTACGTGATGAAGTAAAAAAAACGCACCACATTTGCATTTATCTCTTGTTGCAATGTAACAAAATAAAATTATTTTATACAGATTTTAATAATGTAAAAGGGAATTTTCTCGGGCTTTGGAGATAGTTAGTTATGAAATAAATCGTTGAATATATATCTAATTTAACTAATTAAAATATTGAATATTAATCAATCTTAATAATTAGAATAAAAAAAAACCCCTATTATTATTAAAATTAATGTGTCGTGTGAAGAAAGATTTTTATGTAAAAAATAAATATATCTCTATTATATACGATTTTTTTTTGTATTACAAATAGCACACGTAGATGGAAAAATTATTCGAAATTAAGCTTTGATTTTCTTTTTCCTGGAATTGCACCACCATTATCTGAATAAATTCGTGGGTAGAAAATTATTCAACTTATTAAATAATTCACACGATCACGTTAATTCTGATAATGGACTTGTGTTTATTATCGTAAATTATTTTCCAAGTCAAATTATAATTGCATTATTAAGATTATTTTACGATTCGATTTTAATAATAGTTACTGTTATTTATCCGGAGCGACGCTCCAGGAGCGTAGCGTAGGACATTTAATGTTCGCGTAATGTACGAGTAAGGTGATGCCAAAGTTACATTAATAATAATTAATTAATGCAAATTCAATCTATACATATATAAAGAAAAAATTATTATTGACAATCTCCATAAATACATGTTTAATACAAAATTAAATATCTTAATTTTTGATTTTTCATAATATTTATTACAACTGAACTGCTATAGTTAAATAATTTCATATAATATTAAAAGTTTACGTAATCTTATTGTACATATAATTTTATAAGAATTTTTTTAAAAAAATAAATCGAAAAAAAAAATCGTGAAAAAGGTCGAAAAAAAGAATCGAAAAAAAAAATCGTGAAAAAAGTCGAAAAAAAAAATCGAGAATAAAAAAAAAAAATCGAAGATTTGTTTGCTAGTGATTTGCCAATAATTATTTTCCTCAAAAATTTTTATCTGCCAGAGAAAAAAAAATAGGAACTAAGGTGGGGGGGAAGGAGGTTAGGGGAAGTCAATTCCGTTAATAATGTCATTAATATTATTGGAATGAGATTAGGGGAATCCAAATTCCGTTAATAATATCATTAATATTATTGGAATTATTATTACGCCGTCTATTAAAACGTCGTATTTTGTCTTTGATATTATCAAATTCGATCGCCAGCAAGTCGAATTCCAAAGATTATGATAAAAAATGAATTCAATGAATTTCGAGTTGTTTAAAAAAAATATTTTGTCCACTTAATAATATTTCGCTTCCCCTCGTATAGAGAATTAAATCGTGAACATTTAATAAAATGCGATATAATAATAATGATATTAAATCAACATTTAAATTATTTTTTTTTTGATTATTATAAAAATTATATTATTTTTTTTTGATTATTATAAAAATTATATTATTTTTTTTTGATTATTATAAAAATTATATTATTTTTTTTGATTATTATAAAAATTTTAAAAAATTATAAAAATAAATAATAATAATGATATATCTATATATAAGTAAGAAATTGAAAGCTACCTCAAAAATTTTTATCTGCCAGAGAAAAAAATGGGAACCAAAGTGAAAAAAAAAGGAAGGAGGTTAGGGGAAACCAATTTCGTTAATAACATCATTAATATTATTGGAATGAGATTAGGGAAGCTATTTCCGTTAAAATTGTCATTAATATTATTAGAATGGGTTCATTTTTAAATGAATTTTGAATTATATGAAAAAAATATTTTAATAGTATTTCGCTTCCCCTCGTATAGAGAATTAAATCGTGAAATGTGATTTAATAAAGTCATTATTTTTTTTTGATTGTTATAAAAATTATATTATTTTTTTTTATTATTATAAAAATTATGTTATTTTTTTTTTTTGATTATTATAAAAATTATATTCTTTTTTTTTGATTATTATAAGAATTATATTATTTTTTTTTGATTATTATAAAAATTTTAAAAAATTATAAAAATGAATAATAAATAATGATATAAAAAAAAGGAGATTAGGGGAAGCCAATTACGTTAATAATGTCATTAATATTATTGGAATGAGATTAGGGAAAGCCAATTCCGTTAATAATATCATTAATATTATTGGAATTATTGTTACGCCGTCTATTAAAACGTCGTCTTTTGATATTATTAAATTTGATCGCCAGCAAATCGAATGATCTTCTTTGATCGGCATCCATCGAATTCCAGAGATTATGGTAAAATTCTTTCGTGAGTGGAATGGGTTCATTTTTTAAATGAATTTCGAGTTGTATGAAAAAAATATTTTGTCCACTTAATAGTATTTCGCTTCCCCTCGTATAGAGAATTAAATGGTGAACATTTAATAAAGGGTGATCTAATAATAATGATATTAAATCAACATTTAATAAAGGGTGATCTAATAATAATGACATTAAATCTATATTTAATGTATACATATTTAAATTATATTATTATAAAAATTATATTATTTTTTTTTTGATTATTATAGGAATTATATTATTATTTTTTTTGATTATTATAGGAATTTGATTATTATAAAAATTTTAGAAATTATAAAAATAAATAATAAATAATGATATATCTAATATATAAGTAAGAAATTGTAAGGACGAGAGCATTCTGTTCTTATTTATAATAAAAAATCGTGTCTTCTTAACTAGAATAGGTTAGCAGCAAGTGGTTAAAAATATCTCTCAAGAATTCGCGCATTGGTCATTTTAATTTTATGTAGATTTAATGAGTAACCTTTGATAACAATTATAAATAAATTAAAGTTTTGAGATAAAGGAAATTTTCGCACCATATGACATAAATTTCGTTCAGTATTACAATAATGACGCACCCAGTTTTTTAGCTATATAGTTTTTTTTTTTATATGTACTTCATATACTTGTATATAATTTGAAAATAGCCAATTGAAGTTTAGTACCTTATTTGGTAAGGCTTTCCCAATAATTAATTGAAATTCTTACATCATCATATCATTATCCCGCCATTTTGTATTAATTAATGCAGATATACAATTATATAATTCAATTTCTTTTAAAGATTAGCATGATGCGTTTTGATGTTTTCCTTATCGTACTGGTCATATGTTTCAAAAATGAAGGCTCAAAATTTGGGCCAAATTTCCAAAACGAATTCTTTATAAAGAATATAAATTCTTCATAAGGATAATATAACTGATAAGAAATAATTGTAGAAAGCCCAATGCAAAGGAAAAGACAAAAGAAAAAAGAACTGGTTTATTTATTCGAGTTGCAGTGTTTTATACTTATAAGTCAAAAATACTTTTTTGTGATAACTTTTAACTGTAATCGAATCGGATTCTATTTATCTCCTTGTCAAACTTTAAACAATATAAAATTATTAAAAAGATTGTTATTTAAAAATTAAGAATATTTCTATAAAGAGATAGAAATAAATATTGGTTTAACGTAAATAAATAATAATAATTGATATATAAAAATCTCAATCCGATCGGTGAAATTTTGAGTTTTATTCCGATAGAACTTTGGCGTTTTCTTCTTTCAGTTCTTTTTTTTTATTTTTTTTTTTATTTTTACATTTATTATTTCCAGTTTATGCCTCGTGACTTATTACTTTATTACTTTGTTAATTAAATTTTAAATTTTTATTATTTGTCATTATTCATTATTTTTATCACTATTTATTATTACTAATTAATGATTACTAATTAATATCATGCTCATATATAGTTGACAGTTTATCCATATTTTGTAATAATTGTTTCTCATTAACCAATTCTTCATGTATTCTTACAAGGAATGGATTTAACAAAAAAAAAGTTGTTATTATTCACCATTTTACGCCTACTTCTTTATATGTTTATTATCGGTGCATATATCATTATTGTCTTTGAAATGAAATAAAATAAGTTCTCCCTTTTTTTTCATCTCGTAGTTCTTATCACATTAATTCAAAAAAATCGAAAGATCAATGACTATCTATCTTATCTGAACCTTAATTCCATCTTTCGATAAAATATGCAAGCGTAATTGATTTACATTAATAATAATATATTTTATTATCAGATTTATTTGTCACCATTTTTATTAAATTAAAAACTTAAACTTTATTAATATATAAATTCAACGATTGACAATAAAGATTTACACAGTCGGAATGCATCTTTAAATGCATAACTCTTCTTTAATACATATTATTGGTCTGATCCCATGGTAGGACTTATATTATTAAAGCATAATCCTTCGAATGCAATTGTAATTTTATAATAAAATAAAGTATCTAAATGCATATATCACATGATAATTACAATTTTGGACAGATTAATAACTAAGAATTTTTAACGAAGAAATGTCAAAAATGTTCTGTACTACATGCTGTTTATTTTTAATTATAATAATTTTCAAAAAAGAATAAAATAAAGGGGGAGTTTGTTTGTCGACTTCTATTTCGGAAGGAAGGAAAAATATTTCTCGATTGCCTCCTCTGATTGTTGAAGATCACGTTATTTGGTCATTTACCCGTGTTCTAAATCTGGACCAATGACCACTGGTCATAAGACTATCTCTAAATGTGGACTTATGGTGCTAGTCATATGTTTTTGGCATATAGAAGCAGAGCATACTCCTTTTGCAAGGTCCGGACTCCGAACAGTATGAGTTTGAATTTCTATTTCTACTAAAGATACGATTTTCTTTTCTCATAACAATTTTCTCTTTACTAATAATTTCCTTTTTCTACCGTATTGCTCTATTTTTACCAGCGGTTTCATTTCTACTAATGATTTTATTTTTATAATAACGATTTCTTTCACTATTTATTTATTTCTAAATTATTTTTATTACCATTTTTCTACTGACAATTATATTCTCTCAACAAAAATAAAAGTCATTGAGGTAAATATCAATAATAATTATAAATAACAAATTTGGACAACTACTAAATCACACCACTGGTGCCAAACAACACAGTGAGAATTGACAGATAAATTACTGAGGAATGTTTCATAATTTATATGCTAATTTAAATGTTTTCTAGGGATTTTTAAGGAATTTACTAATTATTTCACCTAAAATTCGTGATAAAATTGACCAACAACAAAATTATTATTAATGAAACAAGGGGCAATATATCTTGAATTTTTTGTTTGCCATTATATATTTTAAAATACTTTGCATTTAATATTATTTTGTATTTTTTAGGATTGATTTGTCCGGTAATTTCTTGATTTTTCAAGTTCCATTATTTGGATCTGGTGTGTCATTTTTTATTTATTGAATTATAATTCACCTAGATGTACTGAAATTTTAATTGCTAATGAAGCATTAATATTTCAAAAGTAGTATTGAAAGTTTAATTATAATAAAGGAAGAAAATGTTGGTTGTATAAGCCGCTGATATTTGTTTTTTGGAACAATCATCTCTTTTATTCTTGTATGAGAATTCATATAAATAAATTTATTTAATTTATTACAGGTATCGCCATTTGTATTAATATTAATTAATTTAAATGGTTTACGATTAATTTAAAAATTAAAGATTAACATGTATTGTACTGGTCAAATATCAATTAAAAAAAAGAAATATGTATAGAAAACCCAGTGCAAAAAAAAAAAAAAAAAAAAAAAAATTTAGCTAATTTATATCTTTTGTAGGTGTTTCTTTTTTTTACGGCGTATTATTTTTAACTGCATTCGTAATATAACTGTTTTCTCCTTTTTGGAACAAAATTTCTTGTCAAATTTAAAATAATATAATATTCAAAAGATTGTTATTTAAAAATTAAGTATATTTTTATAAAGAGATAAAATAAATATTAAAATAAATAATGTAATTACCAGAATATATTATAATATTTATTTATTAAAAATCTCAATCCAATCGGTGAAATTATTCCGTGATTATTTTTAACTGCATTCTAAATATAACCGTTTATCCCCTTTTTGGAACAAAATTTCTTGTCAAATTTAAAACAATATAATATTCAAAAGATTGTTATTTAAAAATTAATATATTTTTATAAAGAGATAAAATAAATATTAAAATAAACAATGTAATTACCAGAATATATTATAATATTTATTTATTAAAAATCTCAATCCAATCGGTGAAATTATTCCGTAACGAGACTTTTTCGTTTTTATCTCCTTTATTACTTTGTTAATTAAATTAAATTTTTATTATTTCATCATTATTATTACTAATAATACCTATAAATAAAAACAATATATAGATACGTAGATACATATTTGTAATAATTGTTTCTCATTAATCAATTTTTCATGTATTCTTACAAGGAAAGTAAAAAAAAAGTTGTTATTACCCCTATTTTACGCCTATTTCTTTATATATATTTATTATCGGAGCATATATTATTATCTTTGAAATGAAATAAAATAAATTCTCCCTTTTTTTTTCATCTCATAATTCTTCCCACATTCTTATTATCAATAACTATTCCATCTTTTCTTAATTTTAATTACATCATTCGCAAGCGTAATCGAGAATAGACAATTTTATTTTGATAATAAAGATTTACATATTGTAGTTAAAAAAAGATATACATTCAAACTTCTCGGTTCTAAATTCTTAATTCATATTATTGGTTGTGGTCCCATTGGTAGGACTTAAATGCATAATCCTTTGAATGCATATTCAATTGAAATTTTTATAATAATAAATTTCTAAACGCATATATCACATGATATATTATAATTTTGGATAGGACTAAGATTAATAAACTAAGAATTTGTAACGAAGAAACAACAAAATTATTATTAATGAATAATGAAACAAGGGTTCAGGGTCAGGGGCACTTTAATATCTTGAATTTTTAGTCTGCCGTTGCAATTCCAAAAATTGTAGATTTTTCAAGAAATGAAATTGCTGAATTTGAATCTTTAAATTTAACATTCTTATCAAGTCATGTATCAATTATTCAAGTTCCATTATTTGGATCTGGTGCTATCGTAATTATTTATACAGGAATTGCAACCAGTTGCAACTAATTGCGCCATATGTCTTAATTAATTGCGCTTAAATCACTTTTTTTTTGAATTACGACAGGTATCACTACCTGGTGCGTCATTATTTATTTATTGAACTATATTCATCTAGATGTACTGAAATTTTAATTGCAAGTAAAGCTTTAATATTTCAAAAGTGGGTATTGAAAAGTTTAATTAATAAAGGAGGAAAAATGTTAGTTATATAAGCTGCTAGTATTGTTTTTGGAACAAACATCGTCTCTTTTAAAAAGGTAAAAAAGATTCACGTTTATATTGCAGTGACAGCAATTAAGGTACCTTATGTCGATGTACATTTTGTCTTGTACATAAAGGATTATTTATTCTCAGTGTTTGTTTTTCATTTGTATTAGTAATTTATGCTTTGAAATTTAAATTATTGTTATATAATCAAAAAAAAATATTGACACTAATCCAATTTGAGTAAAAGTTACATTGTATGCTCAATTTGGAAACTAATTTATATTTATTTATTATTAATTAATTAATTAAATGATAATAGTTTGAAGTTTTTTAAGGAAAATCGCTCCTTTTTGGGAAAAAAACAAATGAAAATAAAATTTTTCACTTTGGGTAATAAAAAAATTTCATTTTATTTTATTTTTTGATCCACTATCAAACCTAAAATAAAATTTATGAGATCAATATCAATTTGTTCCTTTGACAATCACCATTTCATTTTTATAGAAGACCTTTTATAAAATTGGTAAAGGAAATGATTGGATTTTAATAAATAGCCCATTCATTGCATAAAAAAATTTTTTTTTCGTGTGGTATTTTTTCTTTGTTAAAATAAACAAAAAAATGATTATTTAAAATACAAACTTACTAGTTGAACGTTTTTAAGAATTATAATAATAATATTTTTGAAAGTACGCGAACTGTATTAATTGAATTTAAAATGCAATATGTATCAACTTATAAAAACTTGCATTAAAAATTTAAAGAATTTAAATTCCTTATTAATCTTTAAAAAGTTGCCATCAGAAATAAAATAAAAACGTTTAGATAACTCACAAAAATTAACAATTCCTAATGATAATAATAATAATTCCATAAATAATAACGATAATATTATTAAAAATAGTGATATTGATAACCATTACGTCACGTTAACCACCCACATAATGAAGTAAATAAAGAAAATGGAGATGAAGAATCAGTTTCTGCTACTGATGGTAGTGATTAAATAAAAAAGAATATTTTATCATAATAAGATAAAAATGATAAAACATTTGTTTAATTAATTATAAAAAAAAAGTAATTAATAAATAAAAAATAAATATAAATAATCGAAATTATTATTATGCTATTACTATTGCAATTAATATTTGTGATGATATCACTAATCACACGTTTAATATTAATATCTACTAAATAATAATAATTCACCAATAATATCAAGATATCTAATGAGTTAAAAATGAATAAATTTGTCAAGATTATTGATAAAATGAATGAGTAAAGATGAACGTATGTATTTTTTAAATAAATTTTTACCAATTTTAATTTTCTTGAATAACATTCTATTATCCAAGAATTCTTTCTCTTTTTATACGGATTCCTTAACAGGGTTGGCAAATTTCAAGGTCATTTGAGATCATTTGCCATCCCTGTTCCTTGGCGTAAAATTAAAAGAACTAGTTGATGAAGCAGAAGTAAAGTAGAAGTGGTTTCAGTAGTTAAAATTAAAAAAAAAGTAGATAAAGCTCATGATACAGCCGAAGTAAATAAATCAAATTTCGAAGGTAATAATAATATTATCATTAAGTAACTTACATAATAATCATAATCCATATAATACTAATCCAACTTAGAAATGATGATGATGATGATGACGACGATGATGATGACGATGATAATGGCGATGCGATGACGGTGATGATGATTGATGATGATAATGAATGATGATGAATGATGATGGTGATGATTAAATATAAATAATTATAAATAACTTTAATATTTGATTTTACAAAAAAAAATTACTGTATATTCAAAAATTAATATTGTTAATATTTATATAATTAATTACTACCTTAATATCGACTAATAATTAATATCGATTAATAATTAGTATCGAATTAAAATTAAAATTTTAATTAATTATTTGACTAATTTTCATACCCAAAGAATTCTTTACTTTTTATTTCTGATTACGAAAAATTAAGATTTTCCAAATGTCCATTTTTCTACAATCTATCGCATCCCTACGGTTCTCTAATGCCTATTCAAATAATTTAGCATCGTCGGATTCGGAATTACATTCTTCTGAAACTCATTATTATCATTTCTATCCTTGATATCTTGCATATTTAATTGATTGTTCCTATTAACGAAATATTATAAAATGTTATTAAATTAAAACAATATATCTATGATATATTTAATTCTTTGGGGAGATACAGATGAGTTCACCTAGGATCACATTACACGAATTAATCAAGGGATTCATACCACAATCATTAGTATTCAAAGTTACATC